AACATGCTTTATGTTTCCTGGATATGTGAGCAGTAAATGATGATTTGACAGTGAATGTATTTTCCCAACCTTTTACTGGACATATCACAGTTCGCCCCTCAGCTATGTGCTCTTTTAAGTGGGATACAAGTTCTTTCACTGTGTAAAATTGGTGTGTACCTTGCGAAATGGCACATTTGAAGTCTGTAGTAACGGCTGTAGCAGTAGCAGAAAGTGTAGGCATAGAAATGAGCTTTAAAAGCTGCATAAGTATCAAATGTCCGCTTGTAGTCAGCGCCAACACATTTGAAAAAACAATGGGGTTCGTTTCTATGAACTCTACAATGCAACACATAACCCCTCAAACTCTGTTGTCTTACTACAAAAACGACAGGTTATCTTTCTTTTTTCAAACTAACTAACTGCAGGTTTTTAAAGTTTGTACCCTCCTGGGAAAATGCAACAAAAACCACTGCGTCAAAACATTAAGTTAACTACAAGAGGAACTGAAAGAGTTTAGTCTTATGCACGAAACCCACTACTTAGATGGAACCGGTTAGTCAGCATTATTACTGACTGCAAAATGCACTCGCAGTTGAAGACAACAAACACTAATATATTTCACATTTGAAGAAAATAAACTTAAACTGTTAGCTTACCAGCGATACAGATGGTCACTCTCCATGTCTTCATGTAATTCAGCTCCACTAGTTGGCAGACAGGGCGCGCACTCAGACCATAGACTGCGGGCATTCGGTGAACTTCGCCAACGTGAAGGGGTAGCGATAATTACGTAGTCCAATCAAAAACAAACCCTGCTGCTCATTGACTTGAGGGCACAGAGCTCATCTGGTTTGAAATTTAAACGTAGGCGAGTATTTTCGCAGGAATGTAAAATATACAGTTAAATATATTAATTTTACACTCAAGTTGGTATTAAGGCCTTAATATTACCGCATTATAAGTTAATGAAAAAACAGAAACCTTTCATTTTATCATTTACAACAGAGTAGCAGATCAAGTAGCAAAAATAAAGAACTGATGAACAGCTTTGGAGAGCTACTAACTGTCCATTTGGAAGACAAAGATAAAATTTCTGTAGTTTCATCACCCGTCACCTTATATGTAAATAGCCTCAAATTAAAATTGAAGCCTGAAAATTTACACATTAGAAAATCATAATGAATTTTCCTTTTGTACAGTGAACATAAATAGTAAAGTGCAGGTTTTAAGGAACACTGCAATGTAATGCCCAGATGGTTTAAAATCCACTGGTTATTAGCTACACTTTATTAGGGAGGGTATAAAAGTAGTCCATACACTGATCAGCCACCACATTAAAATCATCAGATATTGTGTAGGTCACCCTTCTTCTTCTTCTTCTTCTTCTTCTTCTACTTTGGGCTGTTCCCATCAGGGGTCACCACAGCCAATCATCCATTACCACCTAAGCCTATCCTCAGCATCTTCTTCTCTCACACCAACTAACTTCATCCTTTATTAACACATCCATATATCTCCTCTTTGGCTTCTGTCCTCACAACATTCTTTCTCTTCTTTTCTGTCTTTCCTCTCCTCTTCGTCCTGACTGTCAGAGTCATCCTACACACCACCATCCGATGCTGTCTGGCTACACATTCTCCTACCACCACTTTGCCTTTCCTGATGCAACCCTCTATATTTATCCGGGCTTGAGATCAACACAGAAGTCACTGGCTTGCAACCGCTGTGGCTAGATTATTGTGTAGGTCACCCTCTGTCACCAAAACAGCTCTGACCCATTGTGGCATGGAGTCAAGACCTCTGAAAGGTGTCCTCTGTTATCTGGCAGCAAGATGTCAGCAGCATATCCTTTCAGTCCTGCAAGTTGTGAGATGGGTGCTCTGCACATCTGACATTTTCTAGTACATCCCATAGATGCATGAGCAGACTGGGATCTGGGGAATTTGGAGGTCAAGGTTTCCAAGCAAAGCATTGCCCAGAGCATCACCCTGCCTCTACCATAGTGCATGGTGCCATGTCTTCCCCATGCACCAACTTTGTACATAATGTAAAAGAAAACATGATTCATCAGACCAGACCAATGCTCCGTAGTCCAGCTCAGACACTCATATGCTCCCTTTAGGGGCCTTTGAGTGGTGGATTGGCCTGCAGCTACACAGCCCCATACACAACAAACTGTTATGCAGTGTTTGTTCTGCCAGTTGTCGATCATAGCAAACATTAAAATTTTCAACTTTGCTTGTTCTATAGTCGCTATTCTGTGAGATCAAACCACACGGGCTACCCTCTGCTTCTCATGCACATCAGTGAACCTTGGGTGCCCATGACTCCGTTGTTGGTTCAGTGCTTGCCCTTCCTTTAACCATTTTTGCTGAGAACATCCCCCAAGACCCATTTCCTGCTTCCAACACATCATTGTACCAAGACAATCAGTGTTATTCATTTTACGTATCTGGTGTATCTAATGAATTTTTTTACATAATTTTATTGTAATTGTACATGATCTTATCTGTAAAGTATAACATATTTATTTGTAAAATATAATACGGTTTCTGTACAAAAAACATTATTTTAAAACTGTCATTTTGTAATTTTAACTGTATTGTGTTTTTCGTATTACGGTTTTTCAGTGTTTAATCACAGCAATCTGTAAATTCCACATAGAAATATAATTATTTTAACGTATTTTTCCTTAAGATTAACAGTTTTATTTGGTTCAGTAGTTTACTAAATATTACTGTACATAAAACACTGCTTCATTCTTTTTCTATTTACACTTTTTTTCACAGACATTTCTTACAGTGCACGAATCAGGTAATTTATTGAACTAGCACTGTGTATTTCATTTAGTGACAGTCAGGCCATTTATTCAGTTCTGGCTGTGAATCATGAATATTAGGAGCATTTACAAATAACTTACCTCATATGAATATACCTGAAAATATTTCACAATTTCATTCATTGTTTATGTAGCCCAGGTAAAATGTTGCCACTCAGGACACAATTACTGGGGTCCTTGCAGCTATGATGTCCAGCAGGTCACAGTTTATTTACACACGAAAAGATATGTAGTAACAAAACACAGAGTAGCAAAAGTAAGGGGTAACAAAATATGGCAGTGGGCTATCCCGCCAAAAGCTCACCAGCTTTATGTTGGACACATTGCCGCCAGCACCATCGGCATCTATAATACACCACCTTGTCAGAATAGATGACATCTTTAAAGTGGGGCATTTTTGGGCATATTTTCTTACATAGGTTAAAAAATCACGGCACCCCATTCTCAAGCTCAGTCCAACGTAAAGAAGGAAGGGACCACAATGCTTGTGGTCAAGTTTTGGCAGGACGTGCACATCTCATTCCGTACTGCCATCTAGTGGCCAAGGTACTAGGTGACATTAAACTCCAGTAGCCCACTGTAGGTTATGTTTACATAACATCACCAAAATTGAATGGTGATTAACAGGAAATCCATAAACATTGCATGAAAATTTGAATGTTGAAAACCTTTAGGGGACCTTTCACCACCAGTGGATTTAGTTATTTATCTCCCCTTAGTACATGTTTACCACCCGGGTACATTTACTGTATGTCATTTTAACCCATGTGTGAAAAACACAGACAACAGTTCAGAGGTACTATTTTAAAGAGTAATGAAATTTATGAAAAGTCATAATTTACATGAGGGTATGGGATGGGTAGAACTTTATTGATCCCACAGTGGGGAAATTCCAGTGTCCCAGCAGCAGTAAGGGGCAAAAACAACGGAGAGCAAGCAACAAGACACCATAAGTACAGATACCGCACACTGATCTTGATAGACAAATTCAGAAAGCACAGAAAGAAAAAAACACAAAAGAGGACAGAGCTACTGGAACTCACTGCTGCTCTATGCAACGCGTCTTAAAAAAACAAATTGAGAATACCCAAAAAACAAGACAGTACAAGCATTTCAAAACAGCAAACAGCACAAGGATCTCTTAAAAACAAATCAAGAATCTTCAAAAAACATTTCGAGAATACCCAAAAGACAAGACAGTACAGTATTTTTTTCCCCTCAATTCATTGTTCTTTGTCAGTTTTTTATGTTTCTTGTCTTGGCTATGTTACTGTGTATGTGTGTATGTGTTTCATTTTATTTTTTCATCAGATTCTCATTTATCTGCTCATCTATCTTCCTGCCTGCTGTCTGTTATTGTCTGCTTCTTGATTTTTCACTGTGTGCTCCTCTTCCTGTCTTTCTATGTACCACCTTTTCTGTCTTTCTGCCTAGATTTTGTCCATCTTTCTGTCTACTCTACTTATCTACCTTGCCTAGCTGTGTATTTGTTTATTTGCGCTCTTTCAGCTTCTGGCTTATGCTGTTTTTCCTTCTCTGTGTCAGTGTTTTTCCAGCTGTCAGAGTTTCTCTCTTTCTGTAAGTCCCTTTGTAGCTTTCTCTCTTTCTCTAATATCATTTCCACCATATGCACCGTATGCGCACGTGAGTGAGTGTGTGTGTGCGTGCGTGTGCACGTGGTCTTATTGTGTGCATGAGCATGCTGGCGCTAACTGTGCTCCTGTTTTTACTTTACAATCACAGACTAGGTGCACATGTGTCAGGACTGTATGTGTGAATAATCACTGTCCTTTTGTTTATTTTTCAATATTTCAAATATTTTTCAAGGATAGAATATATTTCTGTTTTGAAAAGTATTTTGACTTTAATAACAGATATTGGGATGACGCTGCTGTCAGTGCAGTGAAAGCATCTTCAGTATCTCAAACTGTATAATTTACATTGTGATTAATTGCTTTTCCTTTAACAGTTGGTGTCAAAGAAGAATGCATACTTACTTTTAACTCATTTTAACTGTTTAACCCATTTATACAGAATCTTACTAAACAAATCTGACCATGTGTCTACTTCATATAACCATATACAGTTTCTACTCATTACATGATGTATGTTCAGATCAACCCTACTTGGTAATGATGCTTTCTGTACCTATGTGAACATTTATGTGAATATGTCTCAGGTCCCTTCAGAAGACTGGGGAGGTGCATATAGCGGTGCCACTGACAGCGGGGGGGAGATTCCTTGCCGTCGCATGCGGAGTGGTAGCTACATCAAGGCCATGGGTGATGATGACAGCGCAGACTCAGACACCAGTCCCAAAGCCTCACCCAAGTCTACCCTGATTGCTCAGAATGATGCCTTCAGACGATCAGTCAGCATGGATCAAAGGTCAAATGTCACAAATGTAAAGAGCAGACAGTAAAATTCAGCTGTAGTTAGATATCTATGCACATAAAGTCCACTGACTCAAGCACTTTAATTACTGTAAGTACTGTATACTTTTGAAGTACTTGTCTGTACTTGAGTATTTCCAGCTACTTTATACTTCTCTACATTTCAAACAGAAGTATTGTACTTTTTAAATCACTATATTTATGTGATGCTATAGTTACTACTTTGATTTTATCAACACATAAGATAGGATTCATTACTTTAGAATCCTAAAGTGTACCCTGCACACTTTTTCAGCTGCATATCTTTTAAGACCTGCTCAGATTCCAGGTGTACTCTGCTGGGATTTATACAAGGTCATCATGAACTAATAAAAGTTGTAAATTGTCCCACAGCAAAAGTTTTGGGTTTCTTGTGAGCTCCAAAGTCAAACACTGCAAAAAATAAAAATGAGTACATTTACTTTTGATACTTTAAATAATACATTGAAAGCATGACTTTTACTTGTAATGGAGTATTTTTACTGTGCAGTATTGGTATTTTCTATAGCAAAACACTCTGTGTACTTCTCCTTCCAATGCACACATTTAATGTGTCTGTAGAAAATCTGATTGCTTCATGAGAGGACATTTTTTATTATGAAGCAGTTGTTAAGGTCTAGAAGTTCTGAAATACATGCCTTTACTATCCCTCCATTTTTATTTATTTATTTGGGTTGCACAATAAAGCAGCACCATTGTCGCTATTAAGAACAGCAGGTGTTGGGGTCAAACTCAAGGCAGAAAATTTGTACAAAATTAGTGATTAAAAAATGATACAACTCAAATTCATGTTCGCCACTTGGGTTAAAATCTTTACATATATTTTATAACAACATCTCCTTGGTGGTTGGTGATGGTTTTATACTACCACACTGGTGTACATACACAAACCAAATATGCAATAATTCACCAGCAAAAGTGGGAAAGAGGAAGACTGCAATTTAATAAACATGAATGTAATCAATGCTGGATTGAAAGTACTTAAAAAATTGTTTTACATGAGGAAAGAAAGAGCTGAGGAATACTCACAGTGCATTTTGGTCACACTGAATGTAAGCATAATGATTGCTTGTTTACAGGAGAACTCACCAGGGTTATTTTCTGTAGACTGACTGTAGAAAGCTTTTTCCAGAGTGACAGAAGATGTTACGCAGCTAATTTCACGGGCTGAGTAGTAGCTTGTACTCTCCATGATGAGTAATAGTGATATTCAAATTGTCATCACTCATTTAGGGATGACAGCTGTAAATAGCACTGTCTTGTGGTGAGAATTATGTCATAGAATAAAGAGACAGTATGTGTCAATACAGAATTCTTACTTAACATTAGTGCAAAAAACAACAAAACCAACCTTTTAACAGAGCAGCACAATTCAAGTACCATTAAAAACAGAAAAATAACATTTGTGTTCTTACAGTATTTGTAGTGGATACCTTCATACAGTATACTGCATGAAAATTCTTTAGGAACCTGGGTTTTGTCCTAGAATATTTTCACATATCAGGGTGCTTCGGGATATCCAACCTGCGAACCAAATGGTGGACAGTGTGTGTTACAAATGAATTTTGGTCAAAGATATCAAAACAAATGGTTGTAGATTTTACAGTCTGAATATAATGCCAGCTGCTGTAGCTGAGAAATAACTATTGGTTTCATCATGCACTGTAGTTGTTACAGTAAATCATAATACTGATTATGTTTGTGTTTAATTCAGGTACTCATGTAAGCAGTGTACAGATTCCTATCCTAACAGCCGAACCACTCCCAAAACCCACACCCGCTCTCGCAGTTACACCCGCTCTCTGACCAGCTCTCAGGTAAGAAATAGTCTGGTTTATACTGTATATGTGAATTATCTATATGAATAGGTCTTTGGGGATGCAGAATATGAGTTTTGTGTTAATTACTGACTGCATTTTATTTGTTTTTCTGTCACCTTCTCTCTCAACCTTTAGCTGGGAGACACGCTGAACCGACAGTTTGAGGCAGTGTGTGAGACCATGTTTGGGGGGGTGGAGTCTCAAGCCGTCGAGGCCTTGGACCTTCCAGGTGTATTCCGCACTCGGAGTCACAGTTATGTCCGTGCCATCCAGGCCGGCTGTTCCCAGGACGATGACTGCCTCTCCGTTTTCTCCATGTCAGGCCCCCAGGGAAGCATCAAGGGCGGGGCTGGTGAGTATGTGCATGTATACACAGTAGTTAAATCTAGCGTTATGTAAAAGTCTTTGATGTCTATGTGAGTGCTAGGATGGCGGTTGCATTTTATGTGGTGGTGACCTTGGTGGGAGGGCAGCAGCTGGGAGAAGGAATTTTATGACAACTTGTCTGCTTACATCAACAAAAAAACTTTACAGACTGCAGACACACACACCAACACACACAAGCTGTGTTTTCTTTCCTTTTGGGAACTTTACATTGACTTACATTCATTTCCTGTAGACTTATCCTAACCTTAACCATAACCACTACTTGCCTAACCCTTACCCTAATACCTAAACCGCGTTGCCACCCTAAAATTCAATGATTGTAGCAAATGCAGCAATATAATAAAAATATATAAGAATATAATAGAGAATGTATGATACATTGGAGCAGCATGTGCAGCAGTCAACAGTCAATGTGCAATTATGCATGTGCAAACTGAGAATGTAAACAGTACATGACGTATTTCCTGGTAATAAACTCCTCAGCTGTTTAGGAGTCTGATGGCAGAGGGAAAGAAAGAGTTTTTCAGTCTAGTGGTCCTGCATTTCACACTTCTGAACCTCCAGCCAGAGGTTAGGGAGGTGAACAGTCCGTGCTGGGGGTGGGTGATGATGATGGTAGCATACTCTCTTTCTCCATCTTTCTGTCTACATCTCATTTCTCTCTTCTCCCCCCTAATAATTCTTGGTTTAAACATGCTTGTTGTTTTTTTTTTATTAATACCTATTAAGCTTCTGTGAACTGTCATATACTATGCATCAACCACAAATACACATGCACAGCAGGCAAACTCTAATGCACATATACCTACATACATACTGTATATGCATGCAGACACTGGAGATCCAAGCTTCTTGGGTGTGACAAAGTCGGTGGAATGAAATGTATTAAAGTTTGAAAAATAAACCAGGTGTGTACATATATGTTTGAACCAAACTGTGAGGGAGTAGGGAGAGACCAACTCACTTCTCATTTTAACATTTCTCTCAGGAAATAGTTTTATCTTCTTAAGAAGGAAAGTTAAGTTAGCTCAAAGGGAAGAGTTCAGTTATGTCATGTCTGCCTTTCCCACCATCTCACTCCCTGCCTCTCACTGAAATACCAAAAGCTGAATTTCTGATTTTCTCTTTCTCTCTGTATTCGTTCAAAATTCCTTTTCCCCCACTCTCTAACCTTGTCCTTCCAGTCTGTCCTTATTCTAAGTATCCCCTGCTCCCTGTCGATATTAGCTTGCATTTAGCTTTTAACAGCCCACTGTGCTTCTGTGTTCCTCTCTCTCACTCTTCTGACACTTCAGTCTTTCCTTACCGAAAAGGTGCTCCTCCCCCACTCCCACCTCGCATGTCCAAGTCTTCACTCTCTGTCCGGGCCCAGAGCAGTACTGAGTCTACCCAGGATTCCTACTTCCAGAGTAGTGGACAGCTGGCCTCATGCACAGGATCTGGGCATTCCAAGCAGCACAGCAACTCTATGGACCTAGGCATCACTGACGGGCCCTCGGGTCGCTCCTCCAGAGGAGGGTACTACACCGCCACGGGCCCTGGGCGTGCCCGACAGCACAGTAATTCAGCAGAGAGCCTGGATGGGATTAGGGGATCACGGGAGCTGGTGCCCTACGGAGGAGGTCCAGGCGTTGGGTTCAGGGCCAAACATAGCAGCTCAGCTGACAGTCTGCTGGAGGGGCCACCGAGGCCAGCTAGGGAGAGGGAAGGTAGGGTTGGAGGCAGCCTGGGGAAATCAACTTCTCTGCCTCAGAACAGCATAGTGCTGAGTAAAGCTGGAGGGCAGGATGAAGGACATGGTGGAAGAAAGTGGCGGCCATCCATAGCTGTACAGGTTAGGGAGGGAAATAAATTAATTTTAATTTTTTTATTTTTTTCACTTACTGTACATTATTAAGTGGATTAACCATTTAATCAACACAAATGTCAAGAAGCAGTGGAAAAGGCTTGTCACCATTTCCCAGAGCCCAAGATCTTCAAATACTGTATGTCTGATTAACAGTCCAAAACCCAAAGATATTCAATTTGCAGTGGAGAAAAACACAAGAAATCAATCATTCAGAAATACAGTGATTCATCTTTTAGCCCAGGGTTTGTTGAGAAGTGATGCCACTCTCATGTATATGCATCAACTGTGATGCTAGTGTTAGGAATCATTCGTTAGCATACTGTATGTGTAAAAACTGAAAGCAAGTGGAAAATGCTAGTCTTCTTCTCAGAGTTCAGAAATATGCCTAGCAACACATTTAAAGCGTAGTAATAAACATGATCTAATGTTAGTCTGACCCATGCATTTACCTGCAACACATCCTATAAATGCATAACTGTACCTGTTGCTCTGAGTGTCAAATCTTCACACAAGTGGGATAACACTGTACTCTATTGAAAACACTATGCAACACTATAGGGTACCTTTGATGTGTGTATACAACGTCAAAAATACTTGATGAAGTGTCAGTATTTGATAACCTGGGGAAATAGACCAGGCTGGGTATCAATGAAAAATTAGGCAAACTACCTCCTGGCTTTTTATTTTTCTTTCTTTCTTTATGTTTTTCATGGACAAAAATGACAGTGGTATTGATCTTCTCACCTAAATGAATGATCTTATTTACCAAAATTTTTAATTATTCCTTGGTGGTGTTTGTCATCTTTGGAGTGTGTGTTTCAGCAAATACAGTGCCTTGCGAAAGTATTCGGCCCCCTTGAACTTTGCGACCTTTTGCCACATTTCAGGCTTCAAACATAAAGATATAAAACTGTAATTTTTTGTGAAGAATCAACAACAAGTGGGACACAATCATGAAGTGGAACGAAATTTATTGGATATTTCAAACTTTTCTAACAAATAAAAAACTGAAAAATTGGCCGTGCAAAATTATTCAGCCCCCTTAAGTTAATACTTTGTAGCGCCACCTTTTGCTGCGATTACAGCTGTAAGTCACTTGGGGTATGTCTCTATCAGTTTTGCACATCAAGAGACTGAAATTTTTGCCCATTCCGCCTTGCAAAACAGCTCGAGCTCAGTGAGGTTGGATAGAGAGCGTTTGTGAACAGCAGTTTTCAGTTCTTTCCACAGATTCTCGATTGGATTCAGGTCTGGACTTTGACTTGGCCATTCTAACACCTGGATATGTTTATTTGTGAACCATTCCATTGTAGATTTTGCTTTATGTTTTGGATCATTGTCTTGTTGGAAGACAAATCTCCATCCCAGTCTCAGGTCTTTTGCAGACTCCATCAGGTTTCCATCCAGAATGGTCCTGTATTTGGCTCCATCCATCTTCCCATCAATTTTAACCATCTTCCCTGTCCCTGCTGAAGAAAAGCAGCCCCAAACCATGATGCTGCCACCACCATGTTTGACAGTGGGGATGGTGTGTTCAGGGTGATGAGCTGTGTTGCTTTTACGCCAAACATAACGTTTTGCATTGTTGCCAAAAAGTTCGATTTTGGTTTCATCTGACCAGAGCACCTTCTTCCACATGTTTGGTGCGTCTCCCAGGTGGCTTGTGGCAAACTTTAAACGACACTTTTTATGGATATCTTTAAGAAATGGCTTTCTTCTTGCCACTCTTCCATAAAGGCCAGATTTGTGCAGTATACGACTGATTGTTGTCCTATGGACAGAGTCTCCCACCTCAGCTGTAGATCTCTGCAGTTCATCCAGAGTGATCATGGGCCTCTTGGCTGCATCTCTGATCAGTCTTCTCCTTGTATGAGCTGAAAGTTTAGAGGGACGGCCAGGTCTTGGTAGATTTGCAGTGGTCTGATACTCCTTCCATTTCAATATTATCACTTGCACAGTGCTCCTTGGGATGTTTAAAGCTTGGGAAATCTTTTTGTATCCAAATCCGGCTTTAAACTTCTCCACAACAGTATCTCGGACCTGCCTGGTGTGTTCCTTGTTCTTCATGAGGGGCTGAATAATTTTGCACGGCCAATTTTTCAGTTTTTTATTTGTTAAAAACGTTTGAAATATCCAATAAATTTCGTTCTACTTCATGATTGTGTCCCACTTGTTGTTGATTCTTCACAAAAAATTACAGTTTTATATCTTTATGTTTGAAGCCTGAAATGTGGCAAAAGGTCGCAAAGTTCAAGGGGGCCGAATACTTTCGCAAGGCACTGTACTTCTACTCTGACTGTGGTGCTTTCTGCCTTTGTCTGTTCCAGGTGGACAGCTCAGAGACCCTGTCAGATTCAGATGCAGAGGGCAAAGCTCTTACAGAGGTCCACTCTGTAGGAGTCCAAGTGGAAGATGACAAAAGGTAATGGAAATACAACTAAAATGCAAAGCAAGGAACAAGCATTTATTTTTGGAATCTCTTCCTTACTTGAAGTGTGTTTATATTCCCTGACATTTAAGTTCCCTTAATTATGGACACAACTTGCAAACTGTGCATTTGTTTATTTGTTGATTTGTCTTTGGCCCAAAAATGTGGCTTCATCAAGAACTTTTGGTCTTCGTACTGTAATTTATGTGAATAATTTTAATGTAGAATTTTAAAAAGCCCTCATCTCCTGGCACCCGACAGTGCAGCCACGTATGGTTGATTTCTAGGCTAGATCCCATTATTTCATTTAACATTTCATCAGACCTCACAGCTTGAACTCAGTAGCACCTTGTTCCAAGAATGTCTTGTTTTCGCCATGTGACTGTAACCATGACTACTCAAATCATACACTCGACATGTCTTTCGCATGTGATGCAGCCCTTTTCATAATTATATCCAGCATTATTTAATGGGTCACATTTCACAGCCTCCCGAACCTCAAACAGTTTGTGACCTGTCAGTTTTGTCCCCCACTTCCTGTAGTCTTTATAGGTGACATTGTGATGTGTGAGAACAGAAATCTGAGTCACACCTCACACCTCATCAGTCAGCCAAGAAGGGTGAGGGGAGGTGGGGTATTAAGCTGTTATAGAATAAACTGATCATTCATGACACTCATTTATTGACATGACATCTGTACACACTGGTGCATCATATGCCAGAGGATTTAGTAGTACTCATCACAGTTGAGTGAGTAGTAGTGACTGCAGTGACACTTTAACTATTCCGGCATTAACCCGAATGTGCAGTTATTAGAAGAAAATATTTTTGAGAATGGCTTTTGCATGTAATACTCTGTGTAACTAAATGGCTCTGGGCCATTTGTGATTGTTATAGGCGAGCTCGTTTCAAGCGCTCCAACAGTGTGACGGCAAGTGTGCAAGCAGACCTGGACCCTGAGGGCTTCCCGGGGCTCAGCGTCGCTGTGCCAACACAGGACAAGAGTCTCCAGTTTGGCTGTTCCTTCCAAAGGCACTCGTCAGAGCCTGAAGCTGCTAGCCAGTACACAGAGTGCCACCGTACAGTCCATACACAAGGGCAATGGGGCTACAGAGAGGTAAGTCTGCAATGATGCACAAAACTCTGCTCCTTGATTAAAGTGATCCTATGGAGTTTCCTGGTAGAATCAAACTTATGTTACCACTGAGTATTTCTCAATATCGGGGGGGGGGGGGGGGGTTTTTG